TAGACAAAGCATCAGACTTTCACAGAGCTGAACAACAAAAACTGGATGGTTAATAGCTATCACTCTCTTACCTGTCAGCATCCTTTACAATTCAAGTTCAAGTTCAGCTAGAATATTATGCTAGTTCCATTATTAATATTACTTAATTGGTGCAATGAGGGCTGGCAATGTTCTACATTAATTTTTTTTTAATGCAGGTGTTCCCACAACACAAACAACAGCAGAGTGCAAAGTGACAAAGGAAGAAAAGAAAGATAAATTGATACAAAAAGCCAATCAAAGGAAAAACTCTAAAGAAATGTGGACTTCACACAGCAATGATGGTTTTCAAGTTATTTTCCCCCCAGGCAAGAACAGATAACATTTATTTTATTTTATTTTATTTTATTTTTTTTTTGGCAGTCAAAGATTGCAGCAGGCAAAACAATGGTAGAATTCAATAATTGAAATAACAGAGCTGGGATTTCCAAAATTCCAGAAGTTCTTTTTCTCTATGCCTCCCTCTTTTTGGAAAAGTAAAAAAGAACCACACTGCTGTTTTTCAGAGATTTGCAGCCAAATTCTTAAGGTTTTTTTGATGACACAAATAGAAGATTCAGGGACCCAAACTTTATCTACAGATTTCAGATTACTGTCCAAAGCTTTATAAACATTTTTCTGACTAAGATATATGTCCCATTGGCTTATCTGAAAAATTAATTGCAAGAACTTCCTTTAACTTGAGGTATCCCAGACAACTTCTGCTAACCTAGCAGTTTGAAAGCATGTAAAAATGAAGTAGAAAAATAGGGATTGCTTTTGGTGGGAAGGTAAGTGTTCTGTGCGCCTTCGGCATTTAGTCATGCTGGCCACATGACCATGGAGATGTCTTCAGACAGCGCTGGCTCTTCAGCTTTGAAACAGAAATGAGCACCACCCCCTAGAGTTGAGAATGACTGGCACATATGTGTAAGGGGAACCTTTATCTTTACCCCAGACATATGAACTAACCAATTCCCCTAATCCTTTCTCCAGCATGGAAATCTTGTGAGGAGAATGGAGAATGCCTTCAAACATATCTTGTAGCTACTGTCACAGATTCAGAAAGGACCCAGATGCTAGAACAAACCAATAATACAAACCAATACAGTCCCGCTCTATGGTTCAAGGTCCATGCAGCTGCCCCGGCTCCTGGAAGACTCGGCAGCAGGCAGCTGGCCTGACTGGCCTTTTCTCCACTTTCAGCAGCTGGAGTTTGGAAACCACAGACTCCTCAAGGACCTGGTGCTCACCAGCTTCACCCACATTGTGATCCTGGGATACTGCTCAGCTGGTGAGTGGCACTCTGCCTTGCCGGAGGGGGGGGTGTCCGCTTGGTGGGCACCAAGTGGCAAGAGATGCCAGGCAGCTGCTCTCTTGCGAGCAGGCTCCTGAAGAGCCGGGCACAGGGACATGAGAACGTGGGCACGGCCTTGGGCGAACAGCTGATGAGCAGCTGTGTTGCGCTGCCACAGCAGTACAACACAACAACAACCATGAGCACCCTCAAAATAATAAGACCTCTGATAATAAGGTCAAGCCTTTATTTCAGGGTTCAAAAGAAAATAAGACTCTATCTTATTTTGGGGGAAACACAGTATTAATTAATTAATGCAAACTAAAATTTAGAAGTTCTATGCCTCCATGTGTTAAATAAAACTTTTAGAAGAGAAGAGGCCATGATTTTCGATTAGGGCTATATCTAAGTCTACAAATATATGCAGATTGAAACAATTGAATGCTTAATTGCAAATTAGTTTCATTATGATTTCTCTGAGCTGCTATTTCAGTCAATTGATCTCAGTATATAGGGCTTTCATTCTTGAAACCTCTAGAGAACATTTATGTCTACATCAACCATTTCCAGCTTCCTTAGATTGATTTTATGGAATGCAATGATTGTGATGCTTAATTTAGACCAGAAAGACTAGTTCAAATCCTATATAACCATGGAGTTCAAGACATGACTTTGGGCCAAATATTTTACTTAAACAAATTTAATTCACAGGGTCAATATTATGAGAACAAAACTGGGAAATCCATCTTGAATTCTCAAAAACAAGGCAGGAAATCAGTGATTAATTGATAGATCCCAATCAGCATATTTAGAGGGTAGAAAGGCTGATGAACACAGAGTTTAGATAAGTTTTGCACAGTAGTGAAATCCAAATTTTTTTATTACTGGTTCTGTGGGCGTGGTGTGGCTTGGTGGGCGTGGCTTGGTGGGCATGACAGGGGAAGGATACTGCAAAATCTCCATTCCCACCCCACTCCAGGGGAAAGGTACTACAAAATCTCCATTCCCACCCCACTCTGGGGCCAGCCAGAGGTGGTATTTGCCAGTTCTCCGAACTGCTCAAAATTTCTCTACTGGTTCTCCAGAACCTGTCAGAACCTGCTGGATTTCACCCCTGGTTTTGAAATAATCAAAGTGATATACTATAATCATTGACAATCATTCCAAGCCTATTTCTAGACCATTATGATAAGAACAGCAGCAAGAGAGTTGACTTAAAATAATTTTGGAAATAAAGAAACTGTTCCATATAAAGACCTACTTGTATACAAGGATGACTAATACAACTAATTAATTATATAAAGATTAACATACAGATGGAAAAATGTTTACTGAGCAAAGTCATTGATTTCATTGCAATTTAATCAGTAAAGGTGATGACCTTGCCTAAAAAGTACTTTAAGCTACCAGCTAATACCAAGGATGGAAGGCTGAGTCAACCTTGAGCCTGGTGAGATTCGAACTGCCAAATTGCAGGCAGCTGGCAGTCAGCACAAGCCGCCTGCAGTACTGCACTCTAACGACTGCACCACCATGGCTCATTTACAGTAGAATATCATTCATAAACCTTAATTCTTCCATTAGGCTCACAGCAAGGAATCCCACAAGCACAACCTGATCCTCTGCTTGCTGAGACAGGACAAGACTGACTAATTTCAGAAAGGTTTAATCTCAAACTTGAGTAAGACTTCAATCTAGCACAGCTTCTAAAGACACATATTTGATTAGAGGTTAGTGCTAGATTACAACCATTTGTTTAGTGACTGTTCGAAGTTACAACAGCATTAGATCAGATTCACTTAAGAACCATGTTATTAACTGAACAACCGCAAATGATTTGCTTAACAACCTTGGCCAAAAAGGTGATAAAATTGGGTGTGTTTCACTTAACAACTCTCTTGCTTAACAATGGAAATTCTAATCTCAGTTGAAAGCAAAAACTAGCAACGTTATTAATATAGTAACTATACATCTAGATTCAGCAGAATATTGATTAAAAAGACATGGGTTTTTAAAAGGATTTTTAAAACATAGTTTGTTAAATTAATTGTAGATACAGTACCTTTAGTTTTAAATGCAAAACAGAACAAAGTTTTATTTCTATTACATTCATGAGCAATAATTTTCTAAAACTCAGTATTAAGCACAGATATTAATCAGCATCTGAAAAGATGCTACTCTCTGGCTTCTTTTCCTGAAGGCATAATTAGGCTATTTCTTTAGATAGACCACTTATTCAATTAGCTGAATATAATTAATATAAAAAGCAATAAAAATGATAAGCAAAATCCAAATGGGGAGGCAAATTTACAGAAGATAGAAGGGAGGGAGGGAGGAAGGGAGGAAAATGAGTGAGAAAAAGGGAGATAGGTCAAGAGAGCAAGCATCATTTATTCATTTTATTTATTTATGTATTTATGTATTTATGTATTTATTTATTTATTTATTTATTTATTTATTTACTTACTTATTTATTTATTTATTTATTTATTTATTTATTTATTTATTTGTCATATTTCTATGCCGCCCACTCTCCGAGGACTCTGGGCGGCTTACACCAAAGACAGTATACTAAATAGCATATCGCCCCCAACAATCCAGGTCATCTCGGAAGGATGGAAGGCTGAGTCAACCTTGAGCCGGTGAGATTTGATCTGCTGATCTGCTGAGCTAGCAGTCAGCTGAAGTAGCTGCAGTACTGTACTCTAACCACTGTGCCACCTCGGCTCATTTTCATAAATGAATTTTCATTTCATAAATAAAAATTTATTTATTTTATTAGTTTGTCAAACATGTACAAGATAGCAAGTAGAAATATTAACATAGGTATGAACGAAGGAAATGAATACAAATAAATAGGGACAGTAGGACAGGGACCAGTAGTGGGTTGCTACCAGTTCACCCCAGTTCGGGCGAACCAGCAGCAGCAGTGTTTCCAGTTTATTGATTTGGTGAGCTTGATGCGAGTAACTCCAGAAGCAACAGAAATGAGAGACACCTCTATGCCAAGGCGGTCCTGGAAAAATTGAATCCACCTCTGGATTTAGACCAAGAATTCAGTATTAAATCAATATTTAATTATTACAGATGTTGAAAAAAGATGAAAGATGACCATCAATTTGCCCCATAGGAAACATGATTTCTTCATTTCTGTATTTTCAGAATGAGATCTGATAGAAGAGAATATCTATAGCTCAAGGTTGAACTGTAGAATTCTTGGTACTCTGATTCTTTATTTGCTGACTAGGTAACATCATCAATGCCGATGTTAGAGGGTTTGCTCCCAATTTCTATACAGTAATTTGCTCTGCCATTGTTGGTGTATTGTTCTGTTCTTTGATACCTTGATTAGGATATTATATTCTGCTGGATAGTTTGGTATCAATCCCTGCTTATTGGGTGTAGACTGCCAGAATTGATGTATTCTTGTCTTTTGGTTTCCTTCTTAGCTTCTTATATTCTCTTTTGAATGGTGTGTAAATATGATTTATAGTTAGTTAGTTAGTTAGTTTATTATATTTATATACTGCCCTTCTCCTGAGGGACTCAGGGCAGTGAACAGCCATGGTAAAAACAATATACAACGAAAATTAAAAGCTTATTAAAATAATTCAATCATTCGGCCAAATTTAAAACATCCAACTAAAATCATTTAAAACCCCTATCAAAACCCAATTTAAAAAACCTTTATCCTGTCAGACCAGCTTGCTGGAATAATAGGGTCTTCAGAACGCGACGGAAGGCATGGAGGTCGGGGATCCTTTGTATGTCCGGAGGCAGTTCATTCCATAGGGCCGGGGCCACATTATCTCTGTCAATCAGTAAAAATGCTGATTAATCACCTGCCTATCAGGTACTTAGGAGCTGAGGTGTGGCAGCACAAGGAAACAACAACTAATGACTTTATGTCAACACCCTAATTAATAATTTACACACAAATAATTTACACACAAAACCCTTTTCCCTTAATCTTTCCCCTGGCTCAAGCTGATGAAGGGAGGAGAACTTGTGGCTCAGAAGGTTAATTCAACTGCCTAACATGCAGGAAGCCCAAGTTTGAATCCAAGTAAGGGTATGGCTAGCTGATGAAAGCTAAAAAGCTTGAAATAGATCTATACTAGTCTCCCTTTATTTCTTTATCAGCAAAATATAAATTTGATATATATATACACACACACACGTATGTGTGACCACATATACATATATGTGGTCTTTCCCCCCCTCTTTTTTTTTAACTGTTTAAAAAAATAGTTTTTTTCTATTCACTCTCTGTCATTGGAAATGTTATCTCAATTTTTCCTGCAGTCAGTTTGTTATGGAATATCTACTTCTTTTGTCCTTAAAAGGAACCTCCTGCATTTTGTTATGAAAGTTCAGCAACAAGACAGATTTGGGCTATATTAAAAATGATAACAAATTAAGGATTTTTACTATTATATTCTTTACAATGTCACTCTAATGCCAACTGGAGCTGTTTCGTCCTCACACTGCAAAGCTGGTAAGGTCTGAGACTCAACTTACTCACTACATAGTACAATCTAACATATACATAAATAGAAAAAAAATGAGCACTGCCAGGAGGACTCTACAAGTCTTCAGTTTCCATCAAACTGTACGGAGGGCTAAAGTGATCTCAAGAGCCATAATCAGATCACCTTGTGAAAAGAGTAGTTAGCTCAAATCTAGCATCAAGCATGGAGCAGCATCACTCACAAGAAAGGGTGAATTAATGGGGAAACTTACATTTCAAATCCAGACATTTTAAAGGATAGGGATGTTTTAGAGGGCAGGGCAGGGTGGGACAGGACAAGGAAGTATACTCAAGACAGGTAAATTAAATCTATATATTATTACAGCCCATATTGGTTAGAATAAGATATACCTGCATCTCAAGCTCAGCTTGTCTAGTTTATTCCTTAAAATCTGGAAGCCATGAGGAGCAAATAACAAAGAAATCATCAGATAAATAAATTTTAGGGCACATGTATTACATTAATAACTATATTGATTGCACAGTCTTTGCCCAAATTACATGTTCTTAGAAAATTATTTGATGGTTCAGATTCTGATTACCAAACACCCTTTGAGTCATATGGATTCCTCTCACCAAATTCCTCTCTTCCAGATCAATTCTTTTAGAAGAAATCTGGTAGCTCTTTTTCCGATTAAAAATGTTAATAAAAGGGAAATTTTATTAAATATACTGCTCAAAAAAATAAAGGGAACACAAGCAGAAGACATAGTGTTGCCAGGTGTTCACTATTTGAGCGGACAGTCTGCTTTTTTCACATTATGTTCACTATTTTTTTTCACAAAATAGTGGACTTTTTTTTTATTCAAAAGCTTTATGATGAAATTAAAATGTAATTTAATATTTTACATATTATTATAATATATTTGATGGTTTGAATTTTAAGTAAAGTTTTGAAGTGATTATTTTAATACGTGTTAAAATGTTTGTAAGAAAATATATAATTTAATTGTAAAAAATTTTTTTATTTTTTTACTACTTAACACCCCCGCCCCCAGCTTGTCCGCTATTTTTTGGAAGCAGACCTGGCAACCCTAAGAAGACATCTGAGATCTGAATGAATGAAATAGCCTTATTAAATACTTTGTTCTTTACATACAGTAGTTTATACACTGGTCAAACAACTAAAGGGAACACAAAACTACTGTATGTAATGAACAAAGTATTTAATAAGGCTATTTCATTCAGTCAGATATCGTATGTCATCTGCTTGTGTTCCCTTTATTTTTTTGAGCAGTGTATGATAGTAGGAAAATATGCTTCCAGACATCTAACACAACTCTCCTTTAATGCCTGACACTTTTTTGTAAACTCTTCTGAATCTTCCCAAGCAAAAGTCATATGCATATGGTAACACATAGCACTATTCTCTGAAATGTAAATCTTAAAACAAGAAATCCTAGATTTTACCTATTTGCAAGAGGCCTGGTGACAATCTTCAGATCATTTTTACTTCTAATTCCTCAGAAACAGCTTTTGTATTCCTCAATCTCTACATTCAAACTGTTTTTATCTTATGATCAACCATTAGTAGTTGAATTTTTCCCACTGTTCTCACTCTTTAAATCAGTTTTTCTCAACCTTTTTACTCAGAAGACTCTTGAAATGATTTTTAAATCTCAGCGAACCCCTGAAGAAAAAGTAAAATATCTACAGTTGGCATCATGGTGCACAGAGTTAAAAGATTATAATAATTGTTAATGATTTCTTATGAAACAGCACAGAGAGGTGATTCATGATGTCATCCACAGGATCTATTTACTGAGGGATGGTGCATTCTTTTGGTAGTCAAACAATGCCATCTGAACATGGTGTTTGCATCATTCCTACAGATTAGGAAAAAAGAGTACCGTAATTGCTGTCCTTAAATGTAGGACTCCTGCTTGAGCTTTTGAGTTTAGGGTTCAAAAGAGAAAAATGCAGTGTTAGATACATTATCCCTGAGACCTCTAGTAAGGAATATATCAGGGAGATTCTTGTACCTCATTTTGAGTATTCTCTACATCAGGGTATCAAACTGGCAGCCCAGGGGCCGGATGCGTCATGTGCAGGCCACGCCACCCCAGCTCCATGAATGGGGAAAATGTCACAAAACGTCACGTGAAAGCAATGTGACGAGTTTGACACCCATGCTCTACACTGAGGATGGGACATATGTAGCTTTCTCTATGTTTTTAATTCAACTCCTAATAAACCCAGGCAGCCCAGCTGAAAGATGTCTGGCCTATCGTTAACGAGCAAATGATGGGCTAATCATTTGTTCCCAAACTGCACCTATTGGGAATTATTGTGCAAGGTTTCACAAAGGGTTTGTTTGCAATCGATGGGAGGGCTTGAAGCATTTCTATTCTGAATTACTGCTGAACTCTTGGTAATGGATCAGGAGGAACCTGATGGCAACTTTTATGACTAACATTTTATCTTAAAACACATCAGCTTTCATGAGCTGCAGCTCACTTCATCAAATTTCTCTTGTCCTCAGAACTTTCTATTTCTATAATTATTTAATATAATGAAATCTTCATTCTGGGTTAAATCAATTTTTTTTTCTCTTAAACTCATTTTATGCAACCTTTGCTATATCCTCTTCCTTTCCAAGTTCCCTCTTAAAGACAGCTTGCTTTGCAGAATTAGAAATAAAACAATTTGCCATGAATGAAGGCAAATATATGTCTCTCAGGATAATGAGATAAGATTGACTTCGGGTCTTTCGCACTCATGCTGGAGCCCATCTTCAGGGAATTTGTCTCTACTGGAATGCATAAAATTATCCATTTTTCGTTTCATAATGTTTCTGTTTTTGAGATGAGTGTGGAAAACATGGCTGAGGGAAAAAATCTAATTAATAATATTACTAATTAGTAATAATTAATTCATTTATAATTAATGAATTAATTTAATAAATTCTTAAACATATAGCTTGGAGGAATACTGAAATGTTAATTGGGGCTTTTAAATACATAGAGCCCAACATAATTTGACAGCATACAAACAGAAACTGCAAAAATAATTTTAAAAATTGTTTCAGAAAGTAGTCTAAGGCATGAAAGATAATGCTTTACATGTACATTTCATTTGCCGGAATGTACAGAGTACAGTCTTAAAAAGATCCCCTGGCTCCAGTTTCGCAGAGTCGTGTGCTTAGAGCATTAAATAAATATTAGTATTTCTGTTTAATTTAGAAGAAGGGGCTTTTTTGCCATTTCTGTCATTGAGCTGATTCTGCTTAATCTTGTTTCATTAGTATAATTAGAGATGCAATTGGTAATTGTGGCAAAGAGGTTAAATTCTAATCCCTATTGTCCTGAAATGTTCTGAATGGAAGATTATGTGGATTTACACTTAAAAGTATATGATTGATGGCAGTGGTGGGTTCTGTGGGGGTGGCTTGGTGGGGGTGGCATGACTTGCTGGGGGTGGCTTGGTGCACGTGGCAGGGGAAGGATACTGTAAAATCTCCATTCTGTCCGCAATCCAGGGGAAGGTTACTGCAAAATCCCCATTAGCTCCTGATTTGGGAGGCAGAGAATAGAAGGGGATGGGGACAGTCAGAATTTTTACTACCGGTTCTCCGAACTACTCAAAATTTCCGCTACTGGTTCCCCAGAACTGGTCAGAACCTGCTGCAACCCACCTCTGATTGATGGCATATAATGTAAGGCAGTGGTGGGATTCAATATTTTTAACAACCGGTTCTGTGGGCGTGGCTTAGTTGGGGTGTGTGGCTTGGTGGTCATGTGACTGGGTGGGCATGGCTAGCTGGTCATGTGACCTGGTGGGCGTGGCTATGTGCATAGGGACTACTCAGAGGGCTGAAAAAAGTTATTTCTGACTGGTCCTCGCACTTATGACCATCCTCACATTTATGCCCATTGCGGCATTCTTAACAACCGTGTCAGTCATTTCACCACTACTTCTCTTCACCATGGTGACAAGATAGGGCGTAAAACATAAAATGTGAGGACAGTTGTAAGTTCAAGGACTGGTCAAAAGTGCGAGGACCGGTCAAAAATAACTTTTTCAGCCTTCTGACTAGTCCATATGCACATAGGGACTATTCAGAGGGCTGAAAAATGTCATTTCTGACTGGTCCTCACATTTTTGACCGGTCCTCGCACTTATGACCTTCCTCACATTTATGCCCATTGCGGCATTCTTAACAACTGTGTCAGTCATTTCACCACTACTTGTCTTCACCACAGTGACAAGATAGGGCGCAAAACATAAAATGTGAGTACAGTCGTAAGTGCGAGGACTGGTCAAAAGTGCGAGGACCGGTCAAAAATAACTTTTTCAGCCCTCTGAGTAATCCATATGCACAAAAGAATACAGCAATAGAGAGGGATGAAGGAAGGAGAAGAGAGATGGAAGAAAGAAGGAGAGACAGGGAAGGAAGAGAAGGGAGGAAGGGAAGGGAAATTAGAGTAAGAGTGAGGGTAAGAGAGGGAGGAAGAGAGGAGGAGAAGAAGAGGGGGGGAAGAGAAAGTAAGAAGGAAAGAAAAGAGAGAGGTGGCAGGTTTGAGGAGAAAGATTGCTGTACAGTAAAAAAGATGAAATGGAAGAAAGGCAACCCCAAACAAATATAAAGATATTAAGATAAAGAATGAATTGTTAAACTTTAAAGAATAAAAGAGAATAAATATGAATAAATAGCAGTAATTAGAAACACACATACAAACATACAATGTATTTTCTTTGAACAGAATATTTGGCCAGTGCACAAATTTAAACAGTGTTTAATCATTTCAATTAAATTTACAATTTCTATATTTCCTTTTTGCCATATTTATTCCTTATCTATTTTTTTAAAAAAACAATATTACCCTTCATCCTCATCCCTAATCTTAATCAAATTCAATTTTTCCCTTCTATTCTATATTATACCCCTTCTCATTGTCATCTATTTTTATATCCATCCTCACATTGGTTAATTATGTAATATTACAGTTGTTCAATATAAATTCAACATTTTAATATAAATCAATTAGTTATATAACTATCTTTTTTGTATATTAATCAATATGAACATGAATATTCCAATTATTTCCATGCAATCCAATTTCTTACAAATCAATTAATTATATTTACCAATAATAATAAACCAAATAATTTCTCTCATATATCCCTCCAAACCACAATTTAACCATTTCTGCTTTCAACGCAATATACAATTAATAGTATCTCAATTATTACAATTCCCTATTTAAATAGAGCTTTTTTTCTTTTGTGTTTTAAAATCTTGAACTCTCCTCTTTTTCCCTAAAGAGGAACTACCTCTTTAGGGAAAACTACCTTTCCACTAAAGGTAGTTTGCACCTACCTTTTTTGGTGAGGAAAAAGAAAAGAAATCTGCCTGCCTAATTTTCCAACGTTGCAGCAACAGTAAAGCAGG